TAGAACTACAGATCCACTCTAGAGCTCCAGATCCAGTCTAGAACTACAGATCCAGTCTAGAGCTACAGATCCAGTCTAGAACTACAGATCCACTCTAGAACTCAAGATCCATTGTACAACTACAGATCCAGTCTAGAACGACAGATCCAGCCTAGAACTCCGGATCCAGTCTACAACTACAGATCCAGTCTAGTACACCAGATCCAGTCTAGAGGTACAGATAAAGTCTAGAGTTCCTGATCCAGTCTAGTACACCAGATCCAGTCTAGAGCTCCTGATCCAGTCTAGAACTACAGATCCAGTCTAGAACAACAGATCCAGTCCACAACTACAGATCCAGTCTAGAACTACAGACCCAGTCTACAACTACAGATCCAGTCTAGAACTACAGATCAAGTCTAGAACTACAGATCCAGTCTACATCTACAAATCCAGTCTACATCTACAGATCCAGTCTAGAACTACAGATCCAGTTTAGAACTACAGATCCAGTCTGGAACTACAGATCCAGTCTACAACTACAGATCCAGTCTAGTACACCAGATCCAGTCTAGCGCTCCTGATCCAGTCTACAACTACAGATCCAGTCAAAAACTCCGGATCCAGTCTACAGCTACAGATCCAGTCTAGAGCTCCTGATCCAGTCTACAACTACAGATCCAGTCTAGTACACCAGAGTCAGTCTAGAGGTACAGATAAAGTCTAGAGCTCCTGATCCAGTCTAGTACACCAGATCCAGTCTAGAGCTCCTGATCCAGTCTAGAACTACCGATCCAGTCTAGAACAACAGATCCAATCCACAACTACAGATCCAGTCTAGAACTACAGATCCAGTCTACAACTACAGATCCAGTCTAGAACTACAGATCAAGTCTAGAACGACAGATCCAGTTTAGAACTACAGATCCAGTCTACAACTACAGATCCAGTCTAGAACTACAGATCAAGTCTAGAACTACAGATCCAGTCTACAACTACAGATCCAGTCTAGAACTACAGATCCAGTTTAGAACTACAGATCCAGTCTAGAACTACAGATCCAGTCTACAACTACAGATTCAGTCTACAACTACAGATCCAGTCTAGTACACCAGATCCAGTCTAGCGCTCCTGATCCAGTCTACAACTACAGATCCAGTCAAAAACTCCGGATCCAGTCTACAGCTACAGATCCAGTCTAGAGCTCCTGATCCAGTCTACAACTACAGATCCAGTCTAGTACACCAGAGTCAGTCTAGAGGTACAGATAAAGTCTAGAGCTCCTGATCCAGTCTAGTACACCAGATCCAGTCTAGAGCTCCTGATCCAGTCTAGAACTACCGATCCAGTCTAGAACAACAGATCCAATCCACAACTACAGATCCAGTCTAGAACTACAGATCCAGTCTACAACTACAGATCCAGTCTAGAACTACAGATCAAGTCTAGAACGACAGATCCAGTTTAGAACTACAGATCCAGTCTACAACTACAGATCCAGTCTAGAACTACAGATCAAGTCTAGAACTACAGATCCAGTCTACAACTACAGATCCAGTCTAGAACTACAGATCCAGTTTAGAACTACAGATCCAGTCTACAACTACAGATCCAGTCTAGAACTACAGATCAAGTCTAGAACTACAGATCCAGTCTACAACTACAGATCCAGTCTAGAACTACAGATCCAGTTTAGAACTACAGATCCAGTCTGGAACTACAGATCCAGTCTACAACTACAGATCCAGTCTACAACTACAGATTCAGTCTACAACTACAGATCCAGTCTACAACTACAGATTCAGTCTACAACTACAGATCCATTCTAGTACACCAGATCCAGTCTAGCGCTCCTGATCAGTCTAGCGCTCCTGATCCAGTCTTTAACTACAGATCCAGTCTACAACTACCGATCCAGTCTAGAGCTCCTGATCCAGTCTACAACTACATACCCAGTCTAGTACACCAGAGTCAGTCTAGAGGTACAGATCCAGTCTAGAACTACAGATCCAGTCTACAACTAAAGATCCAGTCTAGAACTACAGATCAAGTCTACAACTACAGATCCAGTCTACAACTACAGATCAAGTCTAGAACTACAGATCCAGTCTAAAACTACAGATCCAGTCTAGAACTACAGATCCAGTCTGGAACTACAGATCCACTCTACAACTACAGATCCAGTCTACAACTACAGATCCAGTCTAGTACACCAGATCCAGTCTAGCGCTCCTGATCAGCCTAGTGCTCCTCATCCAGTCTATAACTACAGATCCAGTCTAGAGCTCCTGATCCAGTCTAGAGCTCCTGATCCAGTCTACAACTACAGATCCAGTCTAGTACACCAGAGTCAGTCTAGAACTACAGATCCAGTCTAGAACTACAGATCCAGTCTACAACTAAAGATCCAGTCTACAACTACAGATCCGGTCTACAACTACAGATCCACTCTAGAGCTCCAGATCCAGTCTATAACTTCAGATCCAGTCTAGAACTACAGATCCAGTCTACAACTACAGATCCAGTCTACAACTACAGATCCAGTCTACAACTAAAGATCCACTCTAGAGCTCCAGATCCAGTCTATAACTACAGATCCAGTCTACAACTACAGATCCAGTCTAGAGCTACAGATCCAGTCTAGAACTTCAGATCCAGTCTAGAACTCCGGATGCAGTCTACAACTACAGATCTAGTCTAGTACACCAGATCCAGTCTAGAGGTCCTGATCCAGTCTAGAGCTCCTGATCCAGTCTACAACTACAGATCCAGTCTAGTACACCAGATCCAGTCTAGAGTTCCTGATCCAGTCTACGACAGATCCAGTCTATAACTACAGATCCAGTCTACAACTACAGATCCAGTCTAGTACACCAGAGTCAGTCTAGAGGTACAGATCCAGTCTAGAACTACAGATTCGGTCTACAGATCCAGTCTAGAACTACAGATCCAGTCTAGAACTACAGATCCAGTCTACAACTACAGATCCAGTCTGGAACTACAGATCCAGTCTACAACTACAGATCCAGTCTAGAACTACTGACTCAACAAGGAAAATAGCTCCAGAGAAGCCAGAGTTGGCGGACACAGCAGATAATATCTCATCAGCTGTTTCTGGTCAGCAGTTGCAACTATGTGTGGTTCTGTGTCAAAGAACATCTGCTCTGAGGACTCGGTTCTCTTTATTTGTGCCAAGGCAGAAGGAATATAAACACAAGATGAGCTCATGAGCTGCAAGTTTGACACTTCAGAATCCCAGCGGTAAAAGGCTCGGTGGAGCGCCCCCTCTCGGTGGTCTGTGTTTCTGCGGCCGCCCCGCTCCATCCATCATGGCCATGCACACGAAAGCGACGCCGCCGCAAATCCCGGACACCCGCCGGGAACTGGCAGAGCTGGTGAAGAGAAAACAGGAGCTGGCTGTGAGTATCGTGATGATTTTAGTTTTTATCAGGTGATTCGAATGTTTTTAGAACGCAGCGACACGGGAACAGAAAGCTAAGGCTGCTACGTTACCTTTAGCTTTGCTAATTCGTCTAGCGAGCAGTGTAACTCGTTTTACTCGTTACTTTGCTTCTAAAGCACCGTGCTGACTAATATCTAAACATGATAAGACAGTGAATTTAAAAAAGTAAACAATATTAATGTTCTGTTACGTTCAAATCATCGGTGAAAAGCAGGAAAAACAGATGGCAAATGTTAGCCGCTAACAGCTAAAGTAACTTCTCGCGATACTTCCGTAAAGCTCTTCAGTGCGACTTGGAGCTGAAAACCAAAGCATTTGGAAGTAGAAACAGACGCGTTTGTTTTGTTTTGTTTCTGTGATTACGCCGTTTCCTCCGAACAACCCGATGCTAACAACCTTTTCGTTTAGATGATGTTTAGTCGGTGCTGTTTTCCAGAGCTGCTGTTGTGCACAACAACGAGTGATACCCCAGCGGTGTGCTCTAGAGCTTCCAGAGGACAGTGACCTGTGATTAGTTGTGTCAAAGCGCGGAAAAACAAATGATGCGTGTTAGGTTTAGCTCCTTTCTTTGTAATTAGCAGCAGAAATCAGCATTTGTGAACCCTTTTCCTACACCGAGCCCTGGCCACTGTCAGCGTTACCAGATGACTTTCATATTTTTGTTGGATCAGGAGACGCTGGTGAACCTGGAACGACAGATTTATGCGTTTGAGGGCAGCTACCTGGAGGACACCCAGATGTACGGTAACATCATCCGAGGGTGGGACCGGTACCTCACCAACCAGAAGTAAGACCAGACTGTTTTAAAGTCAGTGATGTGAAAACGTGAAGCTGTCTCCTGATCAGATGTTTGTTTCAGAAATTCCAACAGTAAAACCGACAGAAGGAACCGGAAGTTTAAGGAAGCGGAGCGTTTGTTCAGCAAATCATCAGTCACGTCTGTGGCGGTACGTCACGTTTGCTGTTGCAGACCCAGTTCATAACAACAAACTGATCACGTGTGTTCTGTTGTGTGATCGACAGGCGGTGTGCGCGCTTGGCGGGATCCCGGATCACATGAACGAAAAGCGTGCGTTGCTTTGGACCTGTCAGGTTGGGGGTAGATGAAAGAGCTCCTCCTTATTCTGGATCTGTTTTGGATCTCTTCAGGTGAAGCCTGCAGCGGCACAGAAAGCGACACCTCTCCAGATCTTCAGAACCAAGAAAATGAGCCAAGCCAGGAGGACACAGAGGATGTGGACTCCACGCTGCAAGACCTGAAGCCTCAGAAGGCTGCTTCCTCCTCTTCCTCGGGTAGCCACCACGGGAGCCACAAGAAGAGGAAGAACAAGAACAGACACAGGTACAGAATCCAGAAGAAGGTCTAACAGAACCGTAGGGTTAGAGTGGGTTAGTCTGGAGTCCACATGTTTACCTGCAGCAGATCTGTGAGGGTCTGGCACCTACAGGTGAGCCCCAGTTCTGTATGTCAGCGACTACCCCGAACCCAGGTAATCCTAAAGGCTGTGTGTGTGTGTGTGTGTGTGTGTGCGTGCGTGCGTGTTTCTGCTAAAATATCGATGCTACCAAATTTAGCTGCTAACGGAGAAGCAGCTAGCTAGCAGGAGGTGGTGTAGTGAGCCTAAGGCTCCTCCCTCTCTGGTTGGCTCATGAGTCCCTGAACCGAGCTTAAGGAGCTATTTTCTAACCCGCTTTGCCTCACGCCCTGGCTCACACACACGTTCAGTCCAGTGTAATTCTAAAGCGCCAAACCAGAACCAGGACCAGAGTCGCCTCAAGGACCTTCACGCGGTAAACAATACAGGTCATTAAGTTTCCTACATAAGGAACCCAGCAGGTTGCATCAAGTCACTGACTAGAGTCAGAGTCTTTACAGCAATCCTCATACTAAGCAAGCATGCAGCGACAGTGGAGAGGAAAACTCCCTTTTAACGGGGAGAAACCCCCAGAGGATCCTGGCTCAGTATAAGCAGCCATCCTCCACGACTCACTGGGGATGAGAAGACAGAGCAGGCACACACACACACACACACACACACACACACACACACGCACAAGCCAAGTAGTGTTGCTATGGCTACATATGTTGTACTCCAGGTTACATGAAAGTAATGTACTTTGATAATTATCAGCATTAGCATGACTACAAATCAGACGTCGCTCACATGACATCACCACAGAGTCTCCTCCCCCTAGCGTAGCTGCTGCTCACCACATGGCCAGCTTTATGGTGGTTCGTTCCTCTAGCTGCTCGTTTCCATGTCTGGTTCCATGACATCACTTTGGTGGTGCAGAGCTACTGACATGAAAATTCCTCACCTTTTGGTGAAATTCACCATTTTGAATCCATAACGGGTCACCTGACGTGACCGCTGGGTTTCAGACGGACCAGCAGGTGAGCTATTGCAGGAGATTTGAGGGGCGTCCCAGCTCCACCGACTGGACAACAGACCGGCGGGGTGAGAAAATGGCTTCTGTAGCTCCGTAGACGCTCATCTGTTCCAGCGACCCATGGGCCGGTCTTATTAATGAAGCTGATGTGTTCTGGTGAGCGGCCTGGTCCAGTCCAGATCTGAGTTTTAGGGTCAGGGGTCAAAGGTCAGCCCTGTGGGTGAACTAACAGCTGCTGCTCTCTTCTTCCCTCAACGCCGCTCCTCAGCCCTTCTGCCATGTTTGATTATGACTTTGAGTAAGTCTGGATTTACTTCCTGTTCCTCTGATGACCACTTCCTGCCTGCTCTCTGTGTGATGATGATGCTTGTCTCTGCATGCCTCCGTATGTCTGCATGTCTCATGCCGTCCTGGCTCGTGGTTCTGTGGTGACTCCGCCCATCACAAGCGGGTCATAAAGCAGTGTCTGTTTGTTTCAGGTTTGATATGAAGGTCAACAAGAAGCCGAGGGCGGTGAGTTCATCTCTGTTGTCATAGCAACCACATCTTTTTAACCCCTCCTGAGAAATATAAGCTGCTTCTTGTTCTCAGGACTATTCTACCTGAAGTGGACCGGACCGGGACGCACAGCAGGACTCTGTCGGCCGACTCACCTCCAGTTCTGGTTGTGGTTCTGCTGGGACCAGTTAGAGTAGAAGCGCTGACTCGTAGACGTATTTATTGGTAGCTTGTCTTCGTGTGACTTTGCTGTCAGACCGGTTTCCTTCTTTTATGATTGTTTTACAGAAAACCAATAAAAAATCCCAAAAGGCCCGTTAGGGTTGTTTCTGGAGCCTCGTTTGTACATCTGTTTTTAACCTCTGACCCTTGACCTCTGAACCTTTTGCACAAAGCTCATTTGTCCATCAGGGGAGACCGAGGAGGTCCTTTATTTATAAAGCGTGAAGCTTGCCACCACAGTGCTGTACAGCATGTAAACCATCTTCAGCAGCACATCATAAAACCTGCACTGATGGGGGGGGGGGGGCTACCGAGAACGCCCGATCCTCCACCCTAACCCCACCTGGGAAGCGAGGCTGCAGCACATCAGGGGCCAACCCAGTCGTTGCCTTGAATGAATGACAAGCGCTCGCCCTGTAATTGGAAGGTTGTAGTCTGTTGCTGCCGTTGTGCCCTTGGGCAAGACACTGAACCCAGCTTGCCTGCTGGTGGTGGTCAGAGGGACCGATGGCGCCTGTGTACGGCAGCCTCACCTGTCAGTGTGCCCCAGAGCAGCTGTGGCTACATGGAAGCTCATCACCACCAGGGTGGGAATGGGTGTGTTGTAAAGTGCCTTGGGGGGTTCAGGGCTCTAGATGGTGCTATATATAACACAGGCCTGTTATCTCCTCCATCCCCAGTGAGTCGTGGAGGATGGCTGCTTATGCTGAGCCAGGATCCTCTGGAGGTTTCTTCCTGTTAAAAGGGAGTTTTCCTCTCCACTGTCGCTGCATGCTTAGTATGAGGATTGCTGTACAGTCTCTGACACTAGTCAGTGGCTGTGTCCGAATCCACGGGTAGGATGCATGTGAGTGCGCATTTTGAGGTCAATGACGTCAAAGCGTAGCGACGAGTACTGTCCGAATTCCAAGAATCCTCATTCTCGCGTCCTCAAACGCGTCCTCGCTCCACCCACATTTCGAGGATGGGTCTGATGGATCCTCACAGGAGCAAGGGTTTCCCAGCATGCTTTGCACACCGGCCGCTGGACTCGACACTCGCAACAACAGCGGACGGAGCGGGACAGCAGTACAGCTTAAAATGTAAGTTAGTTAAAAAAAATAGCGGTCAAAAAAATAAAATACGTGTTTGGGCACTTTTGGTTTGTGTTTTATATAAGATCTAATACCACAAATTGTTTTTTTTTTTTTTCATGTAATTTAAGGCTAAAACATGCCCCACCGAAAACCAGCTTGAAGGGTTAGGGTCCTTCGGTTTAACAGTAGAAATGACTGTTTGCTAGACCGGCGAGGACCCGTACTCACAAGCATCCTACCTCTGGACTCCATGCAACCTGCTGGGTTCCTTATATAGGAAACTTAAGGACTTGTTTAGGGTGTGAAGGTCCTTGAGGCGAGTGGTTCTGGTTCAGATCCTGGTTCTGGTTTGGCGCTTTAGAAATAAACTGGACTGCATTGATGCACACCAGGACAGACTGGTTATCACTGCGCTAAATTCACCTTTCCTCCACAAATCTCAACATCTGGATACAGACAACACCTGCAGCTGCTGTTAAATGAAACAGCCAATCGTAGGAGAGCCCTTCTAGCCAATCACAGTCGAGGAAGGCGGGATCTTCCTTGGACATGCTACGATTCCAAATCCCGCTCCCTACAGACCCGCCTGTTTCGTTTGATTGGCTGGAGCTCCGGGAGTCACGTGACCGTCTGCTCCGTGACCAAAACAGGAAGAGCTACGGTGAGATGATTTCATGTTTGCATTTAAAGGTTTTTATTAGTTAGGTGTTCAGCGATAAAACAGAAATCAGAGTTTAAACATGAAAGTGATTTCCGGTCATTAGTCTTGTTTAAGCTTCAGGAACTTCCTGGAAGAACCCAGAGGAGCCCTGCCGGACCTGACTGTATTAGTTAGGGTTAGAGTGGGCTAGGGTAGTGTGTTAACTAGTGGTTTGGCTTATTAACCCTCTAATCAGACCGAGTAGGTGAACAAACGACCGTAAACACGTTAACCAGGGAACTAAGAGCAGAAGCGCAACATTTAGTCTGACGCAGAGTATGACGTCACTTACAGGAAGAGTATTTAGGTTTTGGAATGAATGATCGAGCCTTCTGTTGGTTTAAACTGTTGGATCAGACCCAAGATGGCTGCTGTCTTCCTGGGTCTCCTGCTGGCTGGTCCGGTTCTGCTGGTCACCTCCAGTCCACTTCATGAGCTCAGCAATGGGACCATTCCCCTGGTGATGTGGCATGGGATGGGTGAGTCCGAGTCCTAATTCTGTCTTCAGGTTTATTTCTGCTCCAAGATGAAAAACATGTTTATTTATTCATTATGAGAGGTTTTAATACTCTAAAGTAGGAGGGAACACACCTGGTAGGAACACACCTGGTAGGATCACACCTGGTAGGATCACACCTGGTAGGATCACACCTGGTAGGATAACACCTGGTAGGATAACACCTGGTAGGATTAGACCTGGTAGGAACACACCTGGTAGGATCACACCTGGTAGGAACACACCTGGTAGGATCACACCTGGTAGGATCACACCTGGTAGGAACACACCTGGTAGGAACACACCTGGTAGGAACACACCTGGTAGGATCACACCTGGTAGGATCACACCTGGTAGGATCACACCTGGTAGGAACACACCTGGTAGGAACACACCTGGTAGGAACACACCTGGTAGGAACACACCTGGTAGGATCACACCTGGTAGGATCACACCTGGTAGGATCACACCTGGTAGGATTAGACCTGGTAGGATCACACCTGGTAGGATCACACCTGGTAGGATAACACCTGGTAGGAACACACCTGGTAGGAACACACCTGGTAGGAACACACCTGGTAGGAACACACCTGGTAGGATCACACCTGGTAGGATCACACCTGGTAGGATTAGACCTGGTAGGATTAGACCTGGTATGAACACACCTGGTAGGAACACACCTGGTAGGATCACACCTGGTAGGATCACACCTGGTAGGATCACACCTGGTAGGATCACACCTGGTAGGATCACACCTGGTAGGAACACACCTGGTAGGATCACACCTGGTAGGATCACACCTGGTAGGATCACACCTGGTAGGATCACACCTGGTAGGATAACACCTGGTAGGATTAGACCTGGTAGGAACACACCTGGTAGGATCACACCTGGTAGGATTAGACCTGGTAGGAACACACCTGGTAGGATCACACCTGGTAGGATAACACCTGGTAGGATTAGACCTGGTAGGAACACACCTGGTAGGAACACACCTGGTAGGATTAGACCTGGTAGGATCACACCTGGTAGGAACACACCTGGTAGGATCACACCTGGTAGGATTACACCTGGTAGGATTAGACCTGGTAGGAACACACCTGGTAGGAACACACCTGGTAGGATCACACCTGGTAGGATCACACCTGGTAGGATTAGATCTGGTAGGATCACACCTGGTAGGATTAGACTTGGTTTATCAGAGAATGTGGATCCATCTTCTTCTTACTGATTATTAGTTCAGCTGGTTAGTCTTCACTGACATGATGCACGTGCTCTCCAGGGGACAGCTGCTGCAACCCGCTCAGCATGGGCTTCATCAAGAAGACCATCGAGGAGGAGATCCCCGGCATTTACGTCCTGTCGCTGAGGATTGGGAAGAACGTGGTGGAGGTAATGTGAAAGCCCCGGGCGTGAAGATTTATTCAAACCTCTGGGCAAAAAGGGAAGTCCTGTTCTTCTGAGAGCATTTCCTGGACAACGTGGCGCGGATGAAGAGCTCCATGTAGTCTCAGATGTCCTCTTGGGAACTCTTTGTTTGGGTTTTTGGTCTCCTGAAGATGTTTACTCCTCAGGAGCTGAGATTAGTTCTGACCTTTAACCAGTTGTCTCCATCATTGTTAGGACATGGAAAATGGGTTCTTCATGGACGTGAACTCTCAGGTGTCGATGGTGTGCAGCCAGCTGGCTCAGGACCCCACGCTGCAGAGAGGCTACAACGCCATGGGCTTCTCTCAGGGAGCCCAGTTCCTGTAGGTGGTTCTGCTCAGCAGGACGGGTTCCAGAACCAGTCTGGGTTTGACTCTGGTTTCTTCTGGTTACAGAAGAGCTGTGGCTCAGCGCTGCCCCGCTCCTCCAATGAGGACACTGATTTCTGTTGGTGGACAGCACCAAGGTAAGCTCATCTGGAGCAGCTGGTCACCTGTTGGTTCCCCCTGCTATTGTGTGTGTGTGTGTGTGTACCCTCAGGTGTGTACGGGCTTCCCAGGTGTCCTGGGGAGAGTTCTCACATCTGTGATGTCATCCGTGAAGCTCTGAACCGTGGTGCCTACAGTGACCTGGTCCAGAAGCAGTAAGTTCAGTTAGAGTGTGTGTGAGTGTGTGTGTGTGTGTGTGTGTGTGTGGCTACACCTGCTTACGTACGGGACAGATGTCGAGGTGTCTGGGTTGATCAACTAGAGATTATTCAGAAGGCCATCCGTGCCGAGTCGGTTATCCTTGTGTGACGTCGCTGTCGGCGGTCCGGGGACGAGGCAGCAGGAAAATCCGTCATCGCCCCGTTTGAATTCAGATGCCGCTGACCTGGAGATGCAACCGGGGTCTGCAAGTCAGCCGTAGAGTCTGACATCACTCGCACGCGCTGCAGAGCGGCTGTGACCTTGGGGTCAAAGGCGAGAACGGTTCCCAGTGCGTGCTCACCTGACGGGGCTGGCTGGAGAACCGAGGAATCAGGAAGTGATTCCTGTATTTATCAGTGATGGAAGCTTTTCATTAACGTGTCATCTGTTAACGAGGTTCTTTTCGCTTCGGACACGAAGGTGTGTCGAGTTACCTTTATGTTTCCACCGGCGCCTGCGGTCTCCATCAGCAGTGTCACAGGTGTGTGTGTGACGTGTCTATCAGCTGTTCTGGTGGGCGTGGCCAACCCGGATCTGTCAGATCTGCAAGCGTCGGGTCAGGGAGGCAGTAGTTATCTGGCGTCGACTCAGAGGGCGGGTCTGGTGACCCTCGGCTTCAGGAGCACGGACCCCTTCACCCTCCTGTCCAACCAGGTGATGAGCTGCAGGTGAGACTAGTCAGCAGGTGAGCACCTCCACCTGCCCTCCAGCGGTGACCCGCAGAGAGCACCAGTACCCGACACGGCCGAACCGTCACACCGACAACCTTCAGATTACTGGACCTCCTGAGCTACAGCTGCCAATGAGAAACGAGGGGGCGTGACCCACAGGTGTGTGTGTGTGTGTGTGTGTGTGTGCAGCCTGGTCCAGGCCCAGTACTGGCATGACCCGCTAAACGACGACCTGTATAAGAAGCACAGCCTGTTTCTGGCCGACATCAACCAGGAGCGGGTCAGTACCTCTCAGTTCTGAGGTCCAGACTCGGGTGGGGTGTAACGGTCCGGTTCTGTTCCAGGGCGTGAATGAGACCTACAAGAAGAACCTTCAGCAGCTGAAGAAGTTTGTGATGGTGAAGTTCCTGCAGGACACCGTGGTGGACCCGGTCGACTCAGAGGTAACGTGTCTGCTCCTGAACCCGACCAGAACCAGAACCCTGTGATGACCCAGTCTCTCTCCTCAGTGGTTCGGCTTCCTGAAGACGGGTCAGGCCAAAGAGACGGAGACGCTGCAGGAGAGCGTTCTCTACAAAGAGGTAAGGATGACCTTTGACCTACACGACCAGCTGGACTGGTCCACGCTGGCAGACCCGAGTAGTCTCCAAGTGTTCTGCAGGTTTTAGATGTTTCCCGCTCCAGGAACCGCTAAAAGCACGGACCCGTCCCCACCAGCGCCTCGGGGGCTGGTGGGCCCTGAGAAGGTGCTGCACCAGCAGACGGCCGACCGTCTGGAGCAGGGGAACATCTAGAGGTTGCAGGACTGGACCTGCTGGTGGCTCCGTCTGCAGACTGATGTTTGTGTTGCTGCAGGACCGCCTGGGCCTCGCCGCCATGGACCACGC